GTAAAGTTGTAAGATTGTAAAAACTCCACCCAAGCTGCATGCCTCTTGTTTAGCTTGTGCTGGTGATTAATGAACTTTAATGCCTCATGATCAGAATTTAGAACAAATGGCTTGGCAACAAGATATTGACTCTAATGAGACAAAGCTCGATAAATCGCATAAAACTCCTTCTCATAAGTAGAGTATTTTTTTCTCGTATCATTCAGCTTTTCACTAAAAAATGCAATGAGCTTTCTGTCTTGGTTCAAAACAGCACCAATTTCCACATTAGATACATCACATTCAACTTCAAACACATTATCAAAATTTGGTAGTACTAATATAGGAGCTTCGGTCACCTTTCTTTTCAAAAGCTCAAAAGCATCATTAGCTTCACTAGTCCATTTGAATTTATCACATTTCAGACATTCGGTGATTGGAGCGACAATAGAGCCGAAACCCTTGATAAATCTTCTGTAAAACGAAGTTAAGCCATAGAAACTCCTCACATCATGCAATGATGCAGGTGTTGGCCAACTGAGAATAGCCTCTACCTTACTTTGATCCATCATGATTCCATCTTTTGAAACAACATACCCTAGAAACACTACACTAGAAGTAAAGAAATCACACTTCTTTAGATTAGCATAAAGTTTTTTATGCCTCAAAATAAGAAAGATCTCTTTCAAATGATTCATATGCTCCTCTTCGCTCTTGCTGTACACCAATATATCGTCAAAATAAACTACAACAAATATTCCAATGCATGGCTTAAGTATGTGATTCATAAATCTCATGAAGGTGCTAGGAGCATTAGATAGCCCAAATGGCATAACCAATCATTCATATAAGCCTTCTCTAGTTTTAAATGTTGTTTTCCACTCATCTCCGGGCCTCATTCTTATTTGGTGATAGTCACTCCTCAAATTAATTTTTGAGAAAATATAAGCATCACACAATTGATCAAGTAAATCATCTAACCTTGGAATAGGAAAGCGATAGTCCACTATGATTTTGTTGATGGTGCGACTGTCCACGCACATTCTCCAAGAACCATCCTTCTTTAGCACCAACAAGGCTGGAACCGCACAATGACTCATGCTCTCCCGAATTAACCCTTTTTTCACCAATTTATCAATTTTCCTTTGAAGTTCTTCATGCTCCTTGGGACTCGTTCTATATGCTGCCTTATTAGGTAGAACAGCCCCCAGAATAAGATCAATGTGATGTTGGATATCTCTTAAGGGTGGTGTCTCTTAAGGCCATGTGGAATCTCTTCTGGTATAACATCTTCAAACTCTTCCAGGATTTGTTTCATGATTGTTGGTGTCTCCTTGTGTTGTTCATTTTCCTCTACTACTACTAGAGCTATAATATGACCTCCCTTATCTAATTCATCTTTGCATTCACCATAGGACATAAAAGCGCTAACTTTCTTCTTTGGTGCACTGATTTCGGGTGGTTGTAATGGAGCTAAAATAATCTTTTTTTCATTCACCTTAAAAGAATAAGTATGTTTGTAGCCGTTATACAACACCCTTCTATCATAATGTCAAGATCTTCCCAACAGCAAATGGCAAGCATTCATAGGAGCAACATCACACCATACTTCATCTTTATAATACTTGCCAATAGAAAATGAAACTAAACATCTTTTAGTTACATTGATGTCATTTCCTTTTTGCAGCCACGATAACTGGTATGGATGTGGATGAGGGATGGTATCCAACTTTATCTTCTGCACCATCTCCAAAGATACCACATTCTCAAAGCTGCCGCTGTTGATGATCACCAAGCACATTTTACCAAAAGATTTGCATTTAGTGTGAAACACATTTTTTCTCACCAAACTTTCATCGTCGGCCACATATGACACTTGTAAACTACGTTGCAATACAATAGACAAACCATGATCAGTATAAGTAATCTCTTCCTCATCATCATCGTATTTTGGTTCGTCCTCAGCTTCATCTTCTCCTCCATCACTATGATCTTCAACCAAAGTTACAATTCTCCTATTTGGACAATCTGAAGCAATATGCCCAAAACCATGACATTTGAAGCATTTTCGACCACTTGGGGTAGAAGAATTATGTGTTTTTTTGCTGCCAGCAGATTCTTCACCCTTTTCTTGCACCTTCGATATCACCTTGCTTTGGACAGTAGGCTTGGAACTTCCTCCTTTTGTATATTCTTCTTTTGAGCCGTACCGAAAACACTTTTCAAACTTCTGTTGCTTTTCAACTTTTAATGTCAGCTTGCTCACATCATTTAAAGACCAATATGGCTGTAGCTTAACAACTTTAGCAATCTCATACTTCAGACCTCCTAAGTATCTTGTAATTGTTTGCTCTTCCGGTTCCACAAGCTCTCCTTTTAACATCAAATTATCAAATTCTGCAGTGTACTCCTCCACACTAAGATCTTTTTGCTTGAAATCATGTATTTTGAGAAAGATCTCTTGCCTATAATTATGAGGTAAATATTTTCTCTTCAGTTCCCTTTTCATTTTCTCCCATGTAACGATCTTATTCTTCCCCTCACGTTCTCTTTATTTCTTCAGATTTTTCCACAAAAAAGATGCATTCCGCTTGAGTTTGAGTGCCATAAGTTTGACCTTCTTTTGTTCTGGTGGTTCATGAAAATCGAAAATTCTTTCTACTGTATTAAGCCAATCGATAAAGTCATCAACATTTATTTTACCTTCAAATTATGGAATATCTAATTTGGAGTTATATTTATTCTGCCACTCGTCTTGGACTCCATTTCTTCTTCGACATCTTCTCGACTCCCTTGGAAGAGGAGGTGTATCATCATCAGAAGTAAACTCTCGAGCGTCATTTTCATGTTGGTTGTGTCTACTTTGAAGTTCGTCGATTATTTCATTTTTTTCTTGTAGGCTACGCAGCAATTTCGTAGCTGCAGCCTCAACGACTCAGCATCATCTTCATGGTCGCTACCTTCACCAACTACATCTTTTCCATTTCGTCTTGCTATGATCTCTAGCCTTTAGCTCTGATACCAAACTGATACCGGGGAGGGTAAAAATACAGAATGGATTTCGAAAGAACACCGATAGAACAGTTGTTCTGATAGAAAATGTCACAGAAGGCAAGGAACGAACTCTTGAAGAAACTTCGGTAAAACGAAAAATAGCTAACCACCAAGTTTAAAATCAAAAGGGATACAGAAGATCACTACCCTAATGCTAATAAACAAGGATACATAACTGAAAGCAAAAGACTCACCACTCAAGGACGCATCCAAGAGATACAGAGTTCAAAAGAGCACTCCAAGAGAGCTTCTGCCAATATCCTCAGTTTCTAAAGTCCTTTCTAAGCCCTAAACCCCAAAATAAATACTAGTGCATGAAACAACCCTTCATGCATAGGGAATTTCGAAATTAAGTGCTTTACAGCTACCAACCAACTTCATTAATATATTCCTTAGCCATGAAGAAAAGCACCATGATTCAGCTTTACAGCTACCAACCAACTCCAGTAATATATTCCTTTGTGCAGGGAATATGCTGATGAGCTGTCTTATCTAAGTAGGTTGAGTCGAAGATTATGTGGCGATATTATTAGTTGAAAAAAATATCATATTATCAGCATGGTCCATATGAACAGATTGTAGCAAATTAGACACTCCCGTGTCAGCTCGCCTAGGCGCTCGAGCGAGGCGAGGCGAGGCGAGGCCTGAGTGCCTCGCTTCACTTCCAGGCGGCGCGCTTCAAAGAGGCGCCGCCTGGGCGCTCACCCGAGCCCAGGCGCCGAGCGCTTTGAGTGAGCGCCTGGGTTAAACCAGGCGACCGAACTAGCGTTTTAGGTCTGGTTTGGTCTCCGGTGCTTTAGTTGGTTCAATCGAACCAACAAAAGCATCAATATCAACTATCGCTGCCCAACCCTAACCCTGCTCGCGTTCACGCTACCGCTGCTGCTGCTCACTGTCGCCGCTCCTGCTCCCGCTGCCGCCGCTCGCTACCGCTGTCGCCTCTCGCCGTTGTCGCTGTCGCCGCTCCCGTTGCCGCTGCTGCTATCGCCGCTAGCCGCTCCCGCTCCCGTTGCCGCTGCCGTTGCTACTGTCGCCGCTCGTCGCTGTCGCTGCTCACTTTTACTACTGTCGCTGCACCCTCGGTCTTCCCTTACACTCCTCTTCCTTCTCCTCTTTTGAAAGTATACTGTTAACAATATACTGTATACTAGTAACAGTAATGTATTTGTATTTATTAGATTAATGATATATTATTTTGATTTTAATACTATTAAATAATTATATTTATTAATTATATTATATATTTTAATATTTTAGCGTCTCGCTTCGCTCGGGCGAGCACCTAGTGCCTCGGACGTTTTTGGACCTTGGCGCCTAGCGCTTTTTAAATCACTGCTTGGAACCCAGGTTTATGTTGTGCATTCTCTCCAAATCTTGCATACATGAATGCAGCTTTTTATGTTTGACAGATATATCTAGTGAGCTATGATTTTTTTTCCCTCTTAATCACCATTTCTCGTATTTGACCTGTTATATCTATTAGTTCAGTCCTGCAGAATGTAACCTGGACTTGAAGTTTACTTTCAAGAATGCACTAATTAAAATCTTTGCAGGGTCTTGAGCTGCCTGACATTATTGTTGAAGCAGAAAAGAGAGGAACATCTTTTGACAAGTTGTTGACAATTCCTGATCTAGATGATTGGGTCTACACTGATGGAAAATCAACCTCGTGTTGCCTTCATTCTTGAAATATATAAGGCGGCAGAGCTGTTCCATCCAATTGCCAGCTCCATACAAATCACCAGTTTAACGTAAGTCTTTTGACTCAAAATTTTAAAGCAACAGTTTGTTGTGTATTTGTCATCATCAAGACTTTCTCCATCGATCGGCACAACATTTTTGTCTTTTCTTGTTGTGTTAACAAACTGCACCTAATTTATGCTTCTAAGACTTAGATAACTGTTAGTGATACATCTGAATTGTCATTCTGTGCATTCGAGTTGGATGTAATTCTTGATGCTAAGCAGATGAAAGATGCCTACACCCTCAACTTCTTCGAGAGCAACATAAGCCGCCTGCCGGAATGGTGCAACAAAGATGATGTTTGTGAAACTCCCTTTCTGTCAAATTAAGGGCAGGTACCGCATGGAATTACCAGGTTACAACGCCATGCAGCCATACCCACACATCATGAATGAGAAATGCCCAACCCTTCCACCAAACTATGTCAGGACCAAGTATTGCTGAATTGTGATGCTTATCCCTTTTTTCCCATTCTTTCTTCATAATGTGTAGTGTGTGTGTGTGTGTGTGTGGGATTAGATAGCAGATTAATTAGGTTAGATAAAGGCTCCTCTTGATGGGAACTGCTGTTTAGGGTTTAGATAAGAGGAAGCCATAACCAATATGTATGTGCTGGTAAAATTTATGATGCTCGACTGAGGACTTGGACTAAGATCATGTAGCTGTGTTTTGGCAGAAGCTACTTATTGCATCTTGGCCGTAGTTTTAGATCTGCTAGTTAATAAGCTTCACGAGAAATAAAATGAAATGTATAGATCTATTAAGAAATATAAAATAACAAGGTCAGTTATTTTTTCTTTCTGATCTTGTACGCCTATTTATCAGAGAAGAAAGTTGACCTTATCATAATCCATGTATGAGGGGTTTACCTGCTTTGCTCAATGTATTCTATGTATTGATGATGCATGTTAGCAGCACGAACTAACCGTGTCTTGAAACGATGGCCTCATCCCGCGAACCGGAGTCCTTTGCATCGTGACCTAAATCGTCGTGTGGAGCATTTTAAGGTTCTGCACGGAGACAATGTGCCATGTGTAAGCTCAACGTACGAGAGGACGGTGGGAGATCCTCCGTGCCCGCCGGAGTCTCATGCATCCTAACTTAAATTGTGGTGTCGGGCATTTTAAGGTGTTGGGAAAACTCACAGGACTTTTTTACGGGATCGTAGTTTATCTCAAACTTTCACACGGTGGGTATAGCAGGAAAGTACTTCAGAAAGGGTAAAATATAGATCAACACCGTTAGGATTATAAAGTTTACTGTAAGAATTCTTCATATAAAATTTGGATCAAAACTGACAACGTGCACACTTGTTGTGTTCTCATGTTGCACCCCTCGTAACCTTATCTCTCTTTCTCATTTTAATTTCTTTGATTTTGGTTCAAACGGTTCAATTTGTCCAAGCCCACGTACGGGCTGGACCCAACGGGTTCTGCACAGAGACGATGTGCCGTGTGTGAGCTCAATGCATGGGATAACAGTTGGAGATCCCCTGAATCTTTCGAAACAGGGAATTCATTTCCGCAGGCATTATCGCAATAAAAAGAGACTGACGACTGCTACTCCTGTCCTAGCTGCACAGGGGAGCCTCATCGACACGCACGAGGATTGCATGAATCGGCACTCGCCGACTTAGAGAGAGAGAGAGAGAGAGAGATTCCTGACGACGCCGGATGTCCTACAGGCGCTGCAAGAAGATACGCGCCGACTTGTATTGCTGATGGTTCGAGATGAATTAGTACCGAATTGCACGGCTCGGTGAAACACACGTCTCCTTGTTACTACTTGGAAAGGATCCCAACTCCAATAAAGCAGCCGTCTCCAGCCCCTTCCTTTCCCATGGCCGCCCCGTCGCGGCACACGACTCCTTCCTCCGTTCTCCCTTCTCATCTCCCGTAACCATCAGTCATTTTTCTTCTTCTGCCTCTCCTCTCGTTTCTCCTCGCCTTGAGCCATTTCACCGAAGTCAAGCTGCAATGGACGGGGAAGGCGAAGAGGAGCACTTGGTGGAGGAAAGGGAGGTGGAAATGGTGGCCTTCACCGGCCCCCGCAAACCCGTCTACAGAAAAGGTTGCTTCTTGAGGCCCCTCGGTGTTCCATTTTTCCCTCCGAGGCGTAAAAGGCCCTCCTTTGTTCATCTCGATGATTCCATGGTGGTCTTCAATGGGTGGGCGTCCGTGTCGCCTAAGTGGAATCAGTGGGTTGACAAGCTGCGGCCCATTTATGGCGTGTTATGGAAGAAAGTTGGGATCTTTGATGCGATACACGCATCTACCTACAGGATCAGGAGAGACTCGTCTTCAATTTTGGCGATCTCAGCGTCTTGGTGCGGGGATACCAGCACGTTCATCTTCCCCTGGGCGGAGGTCACTGTTACATTGGAGGATGTGATGATTCTTGGGGGCTTTCCGGTGGCCGGCGAGCCCATAAGGGGCCCTTTGCACGGGGAGCTCAAAGAGATCGAGGTGCAAATGACGGCTGAGCGCAAAAGTTTCAGTCGGTCCCCAAGCAAAAGGCCTAATCATAATCAGTGGATGATGCGTTACATGGAGTGCGAAGGTGACGAGTTAGAGCACATTGCGTTTCTTGCGTTATGGCTGTCAAGGTTCGTCTTCCCCGCTCACGCTTTCAAGACTGTGACGCAGAGCGTGCTTCCTGTGGCCATTAGACTGGCACGAGGCGCGAGGATCGCCCTTGCGCCTGCGGTGCTTGCAAGCCTCTATCGAGACTTGGGGAAGGTGAAGGATTATTTAGCCGACAGAGGTAGGCAAAAGGTGTCATCTTTGGTCATATGGGCTCCTTTCAATCTACTTCAGCTGTGGATTTGGGAGCACTTTGTGGCCTTGAGGCCTGCAGGGCTAAATGAAGTCAACGACTGTGAACCGAGAGCAGCAAGATGGCATAACGTCGGAAAGAAACTCAAGCTGGCATTATTGCGTTCAGTTCTTGAATCGCCTAATGAGTTCCAGTGGCGTCCTTACACTGTTGGTTTGAGGAATTGGCACAAACCATGTTTCTACAAGGACAAGGGGCTGTGGATTCATAGCGTTGAAACCCCAGGTGTGGAGCTGAAATCCTTTGCCCAGTTCTTGAGGAGAAGCGAGCTAGTCGGGCTAGATTGCATTGAGCAGTATTCTCCACAAAGGGTGGCAATGCAATTCGGGCTGGATCAGGACGTACCTGGTTCCGTTGTCCGGACTAATTTGACCTGGGAAGCAGCATGGGAGACCTATGACATATCCAGGAAAAATATTGTGTTCTATATCCCTCCCCAGCTGTTTGAATCAGATGTCACTCTCCAGTATTCAGTTTGGTGGAAGCAGAAGATTCGACCTCGTGCTACTGGCACGATTAGTAGTGTGGAACAACCAAATAGTTCTTTGAAGAGTGCGAAAGTAATTGCAGGTAAAGTAAGGGGTGTTAAGAAGATGAAGTCAGTCCAGGTTTTGACTTTCGGCAAGAAAAGGACCATGCAAGAGTGTTATGATAGTGACACCACACTTTCTCACTGGTTTGCTTGTAATGATAATCAGGAAAGCAGGGAAAACAAATGCATAAAAACTCAGAAACATTCATTAACATCTTCAGAGAAGCAAATGCGGCCTATTCGAGAACAAAAGTCAAATAAAATGCCAAAGCTATCTCAAAAGTTTCCAAAGGATATAAAACAGAATTCAAGTACCCAATGGCAAACCAAGAGGAAGCAAACCAAAGAAGCATCTTCCACTGATCGATTGGATGAGGAGAAGCAACTCGAGAGACGGACTGCTGGAGAATATGCATGTGAGCAGATGCTAATTAAAAACAGCAGAGAAGCTCTTCAACCTGCACAATCAGATTTCTCAATAGAACTTACAGAAGTTACCAAACAAGAGGAAAATTCAACAAAAGGCAAACAATCAAAGATTCATGTGAAATTCAAGATGTTAAAGCATGAAAACACTAAGGGCAAGGAGGATGGAGTGTTGTTGACTGAAGTTACTGAGACAGAAGATGTGCGAAAAATAAACCTCAAGGAAGAAAATTCCCAGGAAAAAGAGGTCGAGGGAAAAAATGCTGGAGAGCAACAGGTTAAAAACTTGAACAATGAAAATGCGGAGGATGAGGAAGATAAGACATTTGTTGATAAATTTGATAATGAAAACGTTGGAGAAATGCAAATTAAAATGTTAAAGAAGCAAAATTCTGCAGACAAGAATGATAAGGAAATTATAAGAAATGATTACAGAGATTCTGGAGAATCCTTTTTTGACCAGATACTGAAAATGGTACCTGAAAAAACTCTTCCTCTGGAACAGGAAGAGAAACTGAAACAGAGAAAAGGAAAGAAATTTTCACCAAAAGCTGAAGAATCAGTGCATGAAATGGAGATAAAAGAACTCAAGAAAGAAATTGCTGCAATAGAGGCAAGAGTAATGGCCTTGGAATCACTGGCTGAGGTTCATACCTAGCATAATAACACCTAGTTTGTGCTTTCTTTAGTAGTTAGTGTACTGAAAATGAGATGCTATACTTGTTTTGCTGACTAACATTTAGCTAATCAAATGCTTTTAGTTTCTTCAACTGCATGAAATGTTGTTTGATAGTAAACAATCTTTTTATGCTGAATATTTGATGATTAAAGTTAGAGATAGGATGCTTCTTAAGTGCAAATCTTGTAATCCTTCTAAAGTTGCACAGAAGGCTTGTTATAACATATTGTGCTTGTAGAAACAACCAACTTATAAAAAAGGCTTCTGCATCTTGCAGACTGTTGTAGTTTTGCAATGTCCGAAATGCTAAATTCCCTGCATGGTAATGCTATATGCAAATATTGGAAAGAATTATGATTTTTGATGGGTGAACAAGTTTCCTACAGACTTCTTCAATGTGCCAGTGGCAACGCAGCATCTGAAAACTACCTCATGCAGAAAATACATGAAATTGGTCTCATTATGAATTTTAATCTGCAGGCCTGAGTTTGCTTAAATATAATATAAGCAGGACTCTTATTCCTAGTGAATGCATTATCTTTTGAGACTTGTATTTGTTGTTTTATAACATTGGGCAAGTCAACACCTATCTTGCATGGCATTATATTGTGTCGTGCCTGTTGGCATGCCTTTATGTCCGCTAGATCAAGTTATAAAATTAACCTAGCCACATGTATATATAGTACTCAACTACTCATCATATAGCATGCTCCGACATTGTCATGTGTCACTACTTTTCTAGCATGGTACGTTCCAGTTTATGCTGATCGACATGGCAATCCTTATAAAGGTGCATCTATAACATTCATATCCTTATTGTTCACTTAATTGTGGCTTTCTATATCTTCAATTTTTGTCCCCACATGGCATCACCCATGTAGACAAGGAAATAAAAATAATAATGGTAAGGAACTCTGGAGACTGCAGTGCTTTTCTTAAGAAGAAAGATCACTATTGTTCTATTCGTTCTGCAAAGGTGCAGAGCGTCATAGTAAGAATTGAGCCAATCAGCTTGCACCCTAGGCTGGTGCTCTGTTGGATCACCATTCAAGGAGAAAGGACCTCAGGTGACCTGGCTGATTAGAACATTTTCTGTACAGAATAAATATGCAAAGTAGTGCAAATTGTTTTATGGGATGTCTCTAACGAGACAATGTAGTGCACAATGGATGGAGCAAATGAACAGAAAATACTATCAATGCATTAAGTAATTTACTGGTTGATCTAGTGTACAAGTTGATTAGCCTGCTATAATTATTAGCAACTGACAATACCATCAACTTGACCTTATCATTCTTCAATGTATCTAGTATCGTATCCTAGATTATGTCCAGAAACCATATAACTCGACCTGAGTCTAGATTTTGTCCTTTTCTAATTCCATCTTTTTTCCTCAAGAAGATATATAATTATTCATAATTCGGCTACTTACATAAGAGACATGCTCCAAATGGGTATGGACGTACTTTAGAAAGACTAAAGCTGTAGTGACACCACAATGATATTTTGCTTATGCAGTTTACTACTACATTTGCAACTTGCAAGAGCTAAATTTAGCACATGCAGCACCCAATAGTATGTGTTCTTGATAAACAGTAATGTTAAAAATGTCAGAGATGCTGTCCCAGAAAGGATCAGATCTTTTCTTGCACTGCTCTGTCAGCTTTTCATGGAATCCTTTTACATATAATTGCTTCAGCTAGCTTGGCAGGCCTTTCCAGGACGGCTGGTCAAGTTTTGGGCATTCTGAATCTGCAATGTCTCCAGAGATGCAAGGTTTATCAGATCACTTGGCAGTTCAGTTAGATTGTCGCGGTCAGTGATTCTTAGTTCTTTGAGTGAGGTTAGCTTCTGGAACCACTTCTCTTGTTCATCAGTAAAAGATACAAGGGAGCTGCAGTAAATAACATCCAGTCTATACACTGAGGAAAGACTCTCGGCTGGAAGGCAATCAGTGAGCAGTGAGATGTTATCTATGCTAAGTTTCAGAATTGATGAAATATCTTTGGTTTCACATGAGTCCCAGATATCATCAGATAGAATAACTTGTGGCTTTTCATGTGATTCCCAGGTAGGATCATCTGAGAGCACAACATGAAGTTTTTCAAGCAAAGTGGGCATAACAAGTGATCCTCTTAACTTGTGGCAACGATTGATCTGTAGCCTAGAGAGGCGAGGGAATAATTGATGGCTTGTCTCTATTCCTGACCACTGGCTCCATTCAATCATGTCACTGAACAGAAGCTCCTCCAGTGAGGGGAATGTTGTAACATTGTCACCATAGAATCCAGGGCCAATATGCTTTACAGCTTTTAGAGATTTTAGATGCAGAATTCTGAGGAAAGGTAGTAATCCAAGTAGTGGCAAGGCTTCCCAACCCTGGCAATCCTCTAGTTCCAAATGTTCAAGATTGGATAACAAGGTTTGGTTCAGCCAACTTGGAGATTTGATTCCCATATAGCCTGTGATTCTCAGCTCAGTGAGGTTGGGATGTGGCTGAAGAGCTTCAAATACCTCTTCATGCTTGTCAGGGTTATTGTCTCTTTTCTCCAATTGTCTCCAGAACAAAAGCAATGCATTAAGGTGCTCTTTGTTATCTAACCTGGCCTGTATGCACTCTGTTGCACTTCCAACCATATCTAGATTCATAATGCTTAATTGTCCTTGAAGTTGCCTCATGTCTCTCAACTGTCCTAGCTCATATCCTTTCTTCTTCCTTACATGAAACTCTTTCAGCACTTGCAGAGATTTCAATCTACCAATTTCGCTGATAGTAGAAACTTTCTCCTGATTTATGTCTAGATAACGCATGCTTATTAATTTTGTGCATTCCTGTAGGTAACGGGCTGCCTTGATGCAACGGCACACAAAACTGGAGACTCAACCCTTGTACATGGTAAAGCCTGCAGACAGACTTCAGCAGGCCTAATAATTGACCGCCTGGGACTTCCAGATACCTGAGATGCTTCAAGTGACCAATACTCTCAGGTAGTTCATCCAGAACAATAACCCGGAGGCATTTCAATTGTTTCAATGCTTCTTCTATGAAATTTATGAGATTGTACCTGTAGAGGTTATCCAGTAAACTACCACTGACTTCGAGGCTACGCAAAATTTTCAGCTTGTGTAGATTCTCATGGATGTTAGCCAGATTACTTGAACTAATATACATGTGCCACACCCGATCTGGGATTTCTGCTGGTTCATCATCTTCAACTCTAAAGTGTTCATGAGCAGACAAAGATTCTGCAAGGTGATGCAGCAGGTCATGAACCACATATATTTTAGACTGTTTGATCAATTCGGTGTCCTGAAAGAAGGACCTATATAGTAATTCATCAAAGTAGTCCCGACCTATCTCTTCTTCCATTCTCTTCCCTGATTCATTGGATTGAAGAAAACCTTGTGCCATCCACATTCTGACTAATCTGTCTTTGTCAAAGTGGTAGTTCTTGGGAAACAAAGAAAAGTAGACAAAACACTGCTTCAAGGCTGAAGTAGGCAAGTGCTCGTAACTTAATTTTAGAGCTGGGAAAATGTCATCCTTCTGTTGTTCCACTTGCCACAATTTGCTTTCCATTATGTTCCTCCAGTGTTCTTCCTCTAGCTTGGACTTCAGTACACCTCCAATTGTCTTGGCTGCTAATGGTGAGCCAACAAGCTTTTTTGCTATTTGCTTGCCAATCAACTCCAATTTGGGATGATCATTAGGGTTAGCTTCACCAAATGCACATCTTTTGAAGAATTTCCAGTACTTTGCATCGTTTAAACCCTTTAGGAATACTATGTTTTTGGCCTTGGTCCCCATCATATTTGCTACCTTTGGAATCCTTGTGGTTACTAAAACTCTGCTACCCTCTCTTCCAAAGTAAAATGGTTTCCTGAGGGTCTTCCAACCACTTCTTACCTCATTCCAAACATCATCAAGGACAACTAATTTGCTACAAAGAAGCAAATTAAGACCTCTGCAGAATCATCAAAAGCAGATAAGGGGAGAGTGGTGCCAGCCGTATCTGTTTGGAAATAATGGCAGGTATGGTCCCGCAATTATTGCTAAAATGACAACTTGTAGTCATAAATTATAATTTCATTTAGACTGGCTGGTACCTGAACACAAACGCATAGTTTGATATGATTTCTAGTGTGCCATTTGGAATTGAATGGGAAGAGTTGGGCACATAACTGCAGTTAACTTTGGCATTTGAATGTGCCATAGGATTCTGTGTATTTGATTGATCATCCAAAGACTCATTCCTAACTCACCAACCAGATAACTCAGTCATCTAAGCAAACGATAACTAGACTAATCAAATTGCTTTGATGATTTACTTGCGAGTACAAAAATCTTGATTCTGGTCTAAATTTTAAGGTGTGTGGTAGAAGCAGCAAATTGGTTTTTCTAAAATCTTAGTTCATATGGTATGCATATCTGTAGTCAGGTTATTATTGCCACACCTGCTCATTTTCTGAGTTCCATCACCCAAACCCCTATGTCCTGGTTAATTGTAGAATGGTTGGCATGTTCAATCAGCTTAATCAAGTCCTAATGGCAGAATCTTCCATGAGAAGAAAAGCTGTTCATCATAAGCACTACTATGAGATCATCATGACTCTTTTTAATTTTTTTTTTCTATTAACATTCTTTAGTTTTGTGTCGCGTTCTTGGTTTGTCAGCTCTCATCTAACACAGACAAACTGACGTAGACGACATTACCTCTTTTTCCTAGAAGGTGCATATGCTTGCGACTTTTATTGATATCTTCTTCTGCGTTGGGATCACTCGAGATATATTGTGTTATGATAAGACTCGTTCAAGCCGCCATCCTGAACTGTGTATGAGGGATTGCAAGAGGGAAATGTTCTTGGAAACCTCTCCAGTTCCATGTCCAAAATCGAAAGGCCCAACATTCACAGCATGATTACAGCGTCTGATTTTGTTGATTTCTAAGGGAATCAAATTATGTTCCCTTTGTTCGCCAATTCCACCCTCGTTTGATCCAACGACAGAAAGTTTCTAGGCCAATACAGGCTTTTTGCCAAAAGTTCATTCTTCTAGTGATCTGGAAAATGGCTAAAAATTGAAGCACCATGATGATCATCTAGCGAAGCTTACAAAATGATGGATCTACGACAAAAAAAAAAAGAAAAAGACCACTAGAAATCAAATGTGAAATGATAGGTTGAATTGAGAACAAGGTAATCTCTCTCTTTATGCAAGAAATTTTTGTTTTACAATCTGAAGCACAGAGGGAGCAAGTTACAACAAGATTGAATTTTTTATTCCTTCACCTTCCCTTAACATTGTGCATTAGCTAAAAGGAAAACATTATGCATCAGCCCAGACAGGTGAGTTATCATATTGCACCTTCAGAAATGCACATGCAGGACAGGTCGAAGGCGATGATTGGGACGAGAACTCATAGTGCACGATGATTTGAACCCATGCCTCACATGTACATACTCCTGGAGTTTTCATTGCACCGTCGCTGCAGGTCCAAATGCAATCATGAAATTTCATACCACTGTCGCTGCAGGTCCAAATGCAATCATGAAACCTTGTTGACCACGATTCTTCTGGGGCAGAAAGTTGATCATCTACAAAGATGTTGAGCTCCATAGGCTACAGCCGATGCAGCTGTTGTTGAAGCCACCAACCAGCTGCAAATAAACACACAAGCACATTTGGTTATTCTTTCTTGATGGAAAAGATGAACAATAATAATTAACATGGTGAATGCATCCGACGGAGCAGCCAGAAAGATTATATTCGGTATCATAGGTATAAATATTGTTGCAGGTTGACTTATTGGAGTGTATGAGCTAAGAATTATACGCATCCAAGAATGACAAATGGTGTGCAATACCTCAAGTAGGTTATATATTCCTGAGTTTCTGCCGAGCCAAAGTCAGGTTGCAGAAGAGCAGCAGCAACTAAAAGCAACTGGAGCACTGTGTTCACCTGCATTTTCCACTCTAAAAGAATTGAGACAGATTTCCTTGCCCAAGAACAATGTGAACATATTCCATCAAAAAAGCATCATGTAAGGAAAGCTGGATTAGATGAATAAAATTCGTACCTTACTTATGAGGAGAGGTTCTACCTTCTCCCTATGAGCCGCATCAAGATTGATAAATTCAGACCAACTCTTCCACTAAAACAGAAATTGTCAAAGAATTCATTAGTAAGTTAATCAGAATGAAACCTCTATTATAGCCTGTGCACATGTTACCTCCCAACCCAGGCTAGAAGCTCTTTTATAAACTGCACCACTGACGAGAGCAACATCTCTTAGAACCACCAAGCCAACAAGCACAGCTTCAGAAGCCACAAAGAAAGTCAGGTGGTTTCCCATGTTGCTTTTTCCAAATACGGTTCTTGGAAACTAAAACTAGTGTCCCGATCTAAAATCAAAAATAAAAAGGAAAAACATGCTTTAAAAGGAAAACCTCTCTAATTGCCAATTAATCTTGGCTCTTCACTGGTAACATCAGCTGTGATGTATATGTATATACAATTGTTAGATAAAGAGGTATAAGTTTGGCCATAATTTGAACAATTTCACTGAATGAGCAATGGAACAAAAAAAGGGAAAATTTAAACATAATGTTCCTCAGTAAATTGCAAGAAGATCCAGTAGTAAGGTTTTGATGATTGCTCACGATTTAAGAGCTCCTTCTCAACCATAGCTAAGGCAACACAGCTAATCAGAACCTGCACTGGCATAATTAAGAGTAAAGATAAGCACATTAACCAAAGGATCACTGGGTATCAGACAAGGAACTTCATAAGTCACAATCCTCATCCAAGAAAGTTTAACCTTGTCAGCAAGTGGATCAAGATAGGACCCAAACACTGAATTAATACCCATCTTTCTTGCAAGGAACCCATCCAACTAAAAGGAAAAAAGAGACAAAATAAGAGTAATGACTAAGAACTGGAAGTTGAGTGTACAATAAGTTGGCAATAGTAAACATGGAGTTTATGACCCACCCAATCAGTCGCTCCAGAGACAACCAATGCACCAAAAGCCGGAAGATACATATCATGTAAAATCATCCTACATCAAGTACTTTGTTAAAATTGTGAAGGCAATATGATCATGCATTGATTTGTCAATGTATTGCATAGTATCAAGATTCATATCATGTTCAAAGTGGCATTGGTAAAGGCATGAATGTGAATCGGTAAATTGATCTAATATACATACATAAATACAGTGGGAGTCAGGAAGCATACGATGTGGAAAGTTAATACAAAAACATGGATGTCCAACGTAAGATAAATAGAAGGTAGAATAATGCAAAAGTATAAATAACAACAATCATGAGAACGAACAAATTTTTCTAGCTAAAAGTAACAATCCTTAGCTAGTGTATTCATTAGCCAAAACCCTGAGCAGCCAATTTAATACTGAGCAGGGCTGTTTTGCAATTTCCGACTTCACTATACAGGCCATCTTTTGATATGAAAGAAGCAACTTCCTTTTCTTAATGAAAATGCAAACGGGAGCACCAGTGCTGTACGTAGAATTTAAATTAAAGCAAATTAACTAACATGACCAATTCAATTGGCCAACTGAATTAGAGTATTTACCATACACGTGCATCCTGCACCTTCAAATGAATTGGAGCAGATTAATTTCACATAGAGAAGGTTATAGAACGCACATGCAAGTGCACATTTTGCAGTTATCCACTGACCTTGGCACTATGGCTATATCCTATATCCAAGTCAAATCATTTTTAAGTTGTCACCATACTGCAAAGTTTGAATTAGACCCTCACACCTATCTTAATGGCAGCCTGCATAGGATGAGTATTGAAACTCTAACACCTCTCACCGAGAAGGTATGCTCTTTCGTTCAAGACAAAGAACAGCAGCCACATTATCAATTTATTCAATATACTGCATATCAGTCAAACATAAATAATTATGATATCATATTTTTAACACACAAGATAAAAATCAACGTATTGCATACTTATGTAATCAATTACTGGGGGATGGTACACAGCTCTGATGACATCCAAACCTCAATCTCATAAGCAAACTCGATTGAAATTTCATACATGACCCAATTACTTGATGATTCTGGTATCAGGAACTGAACCTGAAAATCCAGGTTTACTAGGTCACCAAGGTCTTCTTGATAACCCTTCTTGGAAGAAGAAGAAAATGGGCAATAGACCGGGGTGCTAAACAAAGGTGTCGTTTAGAGTTGATGAAAAAGGTTATTTCGCTCGATTTCGCACTTGAGAGAAGACTATCTAAATCACAACCCTCTTTCCAGGCACAAGATCAAACAATTCCGAGCGATTTCTTTTGCATCTGTGTTACTAACTATAATGAACAAATTTTACAGACGAAAAACGTACCATCCAATCAGAGGACCGGACACCATCCTGCTGATCGAGATCAAATTCGGCAGATTCAGTAACTTGTCATGAATGACAACCTCGCTCACCTCTCCTCCAACACTCCCCTTCTCCCTCCAGTTAATGACGTCCCCAAACCCCCTTCCGACCTCTCCCAGCGACCTTAGCCCTAACGGAATCGGAAAGCTCCGAACTTGGAGCAGATCCTTGGGGAAGATCGCGTCTTTTCCTCGCAGGTACAAGGGAGTCGCCGACTGCGACAGCATCCACGGGGGCGAGGAGAGGAAGAGGGGTCCCGAGAAGGGCACCCATCGGGAGGGCGACCAGAAGAGCGGAGGGGGCACAGAAGTGAGCCGGAGGACGAAGGAGAAGGGGTTCGGAGAGGAGGCGAGAGCTGGAGACAGAGGAGAACAGGAGAAGGCGGCCAGGGGAAGGGGAGGAGCAGGGGCGCGGAGAGATCTTATTAGGGTTCTGAGAACCGCCATGGGCAAGCGCAATGAAGAGGAAAAGAAGAGCGGGTTAGGGTCTTTGCGGGGTTTTTGTGACGGCGGTAGGTGGCGCGTCGGATATGGTCGTGGATTCTGGCAGTTACGATCCATTGGGTACAGTAAGTAATTAACTCGAGGATTCAAATCAAATTATTATGCACAGTTTGACTGTAAACACTCAATTATGTATCATATATTATGTACCACTTAATCCAAAATATTTTTATCGGCATGAGTGAAGCCCGAATCTTACTCTATTCAAAGATCATCACTTTGATGTTTACCGACGCTGTAAGTATGGGATGATAATGTTTGTTGTGCTAATTATATATTTTTTTGAGTGTTGGGAGGGTTAAGATCACACAGAATCGGACTTGTCCGTCGAGCGTGCAAAGGCTGACCAATCGACAGGAAATGACGTTGTTGGGGCCCACAAACCGCGTGTCCAAGTCTTGCTCATACATACATAGATCATTAATTTTAATTAGTTCAAAACTTGAGCTGTTATTGATCGACTATTCTTCGACAAAGCATTAATCCTATTATTAGATAGTTTTTTCTGTGACAAAGTAATTCACTTTTTGTAGTCTCCATTTATTATCTCAGGAGGTGGTTTCAGTACCGAAAATTATTGATGGTTTGGGTATTGATGAAATCTACTTAATTAAAATTGCTTTTATATGCTAAACATATTTTAGTAATATTATTTTTATTTAAGTCACCATAGGTCACATTGATCCTTAGAATTTATGGTAAATACAATTAGATTTGGAGGCTTTTTCTTAAAGTTTTAGAAAAAAAATATATATATATTTCTAGTTATTCTCATATACCCCTATTAATTTCAAGTCTACTTTTATACATAATCTAATATGGCCTTTGAATTGTTTTCTCATGGATATTGAAATTATTAGCTGTTTTAGAATTTGTTTAGCCCCTCCCTCCTTAGCAGGATAGAAAGGAAAATAAATATCATGGCATAGCTATTATAAAATTTACTTTTTCAATTTTTATAATATCATTTAATATACATTCACAGCTATCCATTATGCTTAAAGTAGTGAATGTATTCTTCCTATGTATCCTTTCTAAAAACATTTATTTTATCTCTCCTAAAAATCTAATCATCGGAGAAGACGTGTCAAAGAGAATCCTTTGCCAATCGATAATTGAAGCTACCGGTACTCGGTGACCACTGAATAATGGGACCGATCGTGTTTGGTTCAGACAAAAGAGAGGTCTCTGCCAATACAAAACGTTGGTTTTCTTCAATTGGAAGCAGCTACCAATAGAGAATGCTTTGGCGCACCGTGTGGCCGCTGTCGCCGGTGAAAGAAGAAAAGTCCTCTCTTGCATTAGCTGGTCTTTTGGGCACCGAGGAAGAAAGATCGGCTCTCCTTTTAGATGTCGACCGCACTGACGATCGGAGGATGGTTCGCACAAGGCTTCATCCAGGCCTTGCTCGACAAGGCCAGCGATAGCGCCGTTCAACAACTTGCCAAGCGCGGGGGCCTGCAGGACGACCTGAGGAAGCTGCAAACAATTCTGTACACGACCAGTGTCATGGTCGACACTGCAGACATGAGGTATGAGAAGAACCCCAACCTGCGGAAACTGATGAAGCAGCTCAAGGATGCTGCTTATGATGCGGAAGACTTACTAGATGAGCTCGAATGCCAAGCCCTGAAGCAGAAGATCCAGAACGGAGGAGAACAGGCAAGTGACCTCTTTTCTTTAGCCTTCAATACGTCTGGTTATGACGCCGGGACTAAACTGAGGGAGATCCAGGGGAATTTAAGTGAAATTACTGCTAACATGAAGTACACGATGGAACTCTTAAATTTGCATGATCCAGGGAGACGATCAAACATGAAGTTGCCTTGTAGAGAAACAAGCTCTTTCTTGACCGAAACCAGAGTGTATGGCCGAGACAGAGAACTGGAGAAAGTAGTAGAATTGTTGTCGACCTCAGTCGAGAAATCAGAGCCCGATATCAATAACTTGTGTGTTCTACCTCTCCTCGGCATCGGAGGAATCGGGAAGACTACGCTGGCTCAGTTCGTGTACAACGATGCCACGGTCAGGAAGCACTTTCAGTTGAAGATTTGGGTCTGTGTATCCGACAGTTTTGACGTGAAGAGACTCACCAAAGAGATTATAGAATCTGTCACCAACGAGAAACAATCTGATCTAATGAACCTGGACACTCTTCAAGTGATCCTAAAGGTGAAGATTGCGTCCAAGAGGTTTCTGCTTGTCCTCGATGATGTGTGGAGCGTTGACACTCACGGTCTGGACGAGTGGCAAAAACTGTGCGCGCCGTTGAGGTTTGGAGCGCAGGGCAGCATGGTCATGGTGACCACTCGAGATTTGAGGATCGCTAGCATCGTTGGCACGATGAAGGAAATCTTGCTCGACGGTTTAGAAGATGACGATTACTGGGAATTGTTCAAAAAGTGTGCATTCGGTTCTTTGAATCCCGAGGAGCATCCAGAGCTGGAGGCTATCGGAAGAAAGATCGCTGGCAAGTTGAAGGGCTCACCACTGGCGGCAAAAACAATAGGAAGCTTGTTGCGATCGAATGCGAACAAGGGATACTGGAGAACTACTATGGAGAGTGAAGTATGGGAGCTGCCACAAGATGAGAATGGCGTTCTGTCTGTCCTACGGCTGAGCTATCGATATCTTCCTGGGCATCTCAAGCAGTGCTTCACTTTTTGTTCTCTGTTCCCCAAAGCCCACGAATTTTACCAAGATCAGTTGATCCAGATATGGATGGCAGAAGGGTACATCACGCCGGAAGAAAATAAGACGGTGGAAGACGTAGGAAGAAGCTACGTTTGCGAGTTAGTCAACCGTTCTTTCTTTCAAGCATCGGCGGACGGGGATTATTATGTGATGCATGACCTCGTACACGATCTTGCCCAATATATTTCAGTGGAAGAGTGTTACAGGATAAGTGATGGCAAGTCCAAAAGGATCCGTAGTATGATTCGACATCTATCAGCAGAATTAACTGACGGAACGAAGCTGATGGAGTTCTCCGGTTATGAGAAACTGCGGACCCTCATGATCAACTGTAACAGAAGTAGGTTTCTGTGTTGGCCTAGAGTGGAGAGCTGCTTGTTGCCCCGTGACATGTTGAAGAGACTGAGAAGCATCCACGTGCTGGTATTGCAGAACTGTGGCTTGCCGGAGTTGCCAGAGACGATCGGTGACCTGATACACCTCCGGTACCTTGACGTGTCTTACAACGCCGGCATTCAGAGGTTGCCTGATGCACTTTTTGGCCTCTACAATCTGCAAGCACTGTTGCTGTGGGACTGTCAATTACAGCGTCTGCCCAAAGGCATGAGCAACCTGATCAACTTGAGGCATCTTTCTGCAAGCTATGAGATAGTTTCTGAGATATACGAAGTTGGGAAGCTTACTTCTCTTCAAGAATTATCTGCATTCAGAGTGCTCAAGGATCACGGGCACAGACTTGCAGAGCTAAAGGGCTTGACACAGCTTCATGGAACACTTCGAATTACAAACCTTGAGAATGTCGAGAGTCGAGAAGAAGCCGCCAAGGCTAAACTGAGCAACAAGGAGTACATCGATGCGTTGGAGTTGGAATGGGCATCTGACGACGACGGCTCCAGTTCGGACGACAATGAGACACCGGTCGAGGAGGGCGAGATACTCGAAGGTCTCCAACCACATCATGCTCTCAAATGTTTGAGGATCACAGGGTACCACAGCGCCAGATCCCCTGGTTGGTTAAAGGCTCAAGTGCTATCGAACTTGGAAAGCGTGATACTAGAAAACTGTAGAACGTGGGAGGATCTTTCATGTATTGGACAACTACCCAATCTCAAGGTTCTTCACATCATGGGCATGCCATCGGTAAAAAAGATAGGCCATGAATTATTTGGCCCGCAGGGTCGGTGTTTTCTCAGGTTGGAAGAGGTCGTGCTCAGAGACATGCCGGCATTGGAAGAGTGGTCATGGATCGAGGGCAGAATGTTGTTCCCTTCCTTGCGTAAACTCGAAGTCAGAAAGTGCCCCGAGCTTCTAATTTTACCTCTCCTTCCTCCTCCGCTTACAGAACTCGAGTTAAGGCAGGTTGGGTTGGCGCAGCTCTCGGGATCACGGGAAGGAATCAATGGAAGTGGAAGGACGTCGGTAAACCCGAGTGACGCGGAGGAAGAATTGCTATCATATCACCTACCACATATCAATTCCATTAAGATATCGGAATGCGGAGAACTCCTGTGGCTGCCTGTGAAGAGGCTTAAAGATCTCACCTCCCTTGAGGACTTGTCGATACTTGGCTGCCCCAAGCTGATGAGCACGAGGAGAGATGAGGACATAATTGACCCCCTCCTCCCACCCTCAATCAAGCAACTAGAGTTGACTGACTGTGGGAATCTCGGCAAATCGCTCCCCGGCTGCCTGCACAACCTCACCTCACTCACTCAATTGTTGATACGCGATTGTCCTTGCGTAGTGTCTCTTCCAGTGGAAGCTCTGCTTCGTCTGGAACAACTTGAGATCCTCACCGTTATGCATTGCATTGAGTTGATATCCATCGAGGGGTTAGGAGTTCTCAAATCGCTCCAAGGGTTGAGGATCTCGGGATGTCCCAAGCTTTTAGTAAATGAAGCAGGGGACGAGCAGGGGGAGGGCTTGTCACTTGTTGACTTGGAAATCGACGACACTGCCCTGCTCAAACTATCGCCTTTAAGAAATACACTTCCGTCCATCCGAAACCTCACAATATCGTCCTCTCCTCAAGCCGTGATGTTCGACGGGGAGGAGCAGGAGTTGTTGCGAAGCTTCACGGATCTGAAATTACTAGAATTCTTCAGTTGCAAGAATCTACGATCGCTGCCGACAGAGTTGCACGCGCTTCCCTCCCTACAAGATTTGCATGTATATTATTGTCCACAGATACAGTCGCTGCCGGAGATGGGCTTGCCGACGTCCCTCAAAAATTTACAGTTCGACTGCTGTCATCCGACGCTGACGGAGCAGCTGGAAAAGCACTTGGTGAAAATGAAGATCTCAGGTCGATTTAATGGAGATTATTAAACGGGGAAGGGACGTGAGGTACATCGGTCTGTTGTACCACCGCTTCCCCACACAGCTGCGGCTCCATTTGTGTTCCTCTCTTCTTCTTCCTCCTGTCATTTTCCACTTCCTTACTCGTCCTGCATCGGAGAGTTATGTAAGCAACTCATTTGTTATCTACACAAAAACATATTATGAAATTAAACAAAATTAATTTTTTTTTCTTGACTTATATAATTAATCCAGAATTAAACAAAGCCAATATAATCCGACTTGCTTAAAATCTTCGTTGCATTTCAGCTGCTTTCCTGAACGAAGTTTTTCTTTCTAGTGTTGCCTCAGTTCAGAATTCATTTTCTTTTTTAGGTTCCAGGAATCAGGACTATATTGACTGTTCATTACACATTAACTCGTTAGTAGATTACTCTCCTGAGATTTAACTTGTCATGGTTGAATTAAAAGATAACAGAAACACATGTCAACGCTGAAAGATTAGCAAGGCAGCTTACGAGACATTAGATGGGGTCCAAGTTTCCGTTTTCATTGAGTGGGCTTCGGCCCAAGTTTCCGTTTTCCTGTAGGAAGCCATGAGGAAGATACTTAACTACCAGATCGTACGATACCTCCTTGTCTACTCTCCTCGCCTTGGAGCTTAGAGTGGGACTCTATTTGCGTATCTAGTCACGAAAGGGGAGCCGATCGATTAAGATTTCATTTATTTGGCACGCTTTTGATGTGAGTTTGGTTGCCGCTCAGTGGCTTACCCATCTTGACCTACCCGCCCTGCCATTGGATAGATAATCATCAGGAGGCTGAATGTATGAGAATCTGGTATCGGTAGACGCGTAAAAAGTAATGCCGACGTCTCGGGAGAACGGTTTGGGATTCTCTCTGGCCGTATCGGACGCTTCCGAGTTTTGACGGACGGTTGACAGTTTGGGATACGGCAATGGACGGCTGAGATACAGAAAATTTCACGGTTTTCATTTAAATTAACAGTTGGATAAAATCCTTGTGCAACGTTCTATGCTCGTGCATGGCTATCGCCAAAATCCAGTTATAAATCGGGATTTTTGTCATCATTTTCTTGCATCCTCTTCGTTAATTCCTTCTTCTACCATTCTCGATCCGATCCAGGGTTGGCGAATCCAATTAAGGGAAGAATCGAATCCGATTCGGTTTGGGGTTTAGGATTTAATTACGAGGATGTTACAGGTAGGTATCCGAGGGCGGGTGCAGAGGTGATGCCGATATCTTGGGAGAATGGTTTGGGATCCTCTCCGGATGTAAGTATCGATCCCATTTGTATGAGACGGTTCACGGCAGGGGATGCAGTGATGGATGGCTGAGATACCGAAACTTTTCGGTTTTCTTTAAAATGATAGGTGGATGAATCCTTACGCAGCGTTCTCTGTTCGTCTGCATCGCTGTCGCCGTTATCCATTTCGACGCGGAAATCCAGTTAAAAATCGGATTTTTCGTCATCATTTTCCGCATCCTCTCAATTTCTTCTCCTTCAGATATCGATCCAGGTAAAGGAAGATCCACCCGGTGCGAAGAATCGAATTAGTGAAGAACCCAATCGCGGCGGAGCAATGGCGGCGGAGCTCTACGAACTCAGCAATGGCACCATCACCGTCAAAATAACCAATTTCGGAGCCACCATCACGTCCATCCTCGTTCCCGATGCCAACGGTGCTGAGTTCCTGACCCGATTCCCCGACTCTTATTCTTCTTCAAACCCTAAAGGCTCGTCTTCTTTTCCATTTATACAACCTGAAGTTGACTCTTTTGTTCTGTTCTGATGGGTTTTAGGTAATCTTGCTGATGTGGTACTTGGTTTCGATACCGTGGAACCGTATCAAGTAAGCTTTTCTAATGAACATGATCATTTTTTTAGTTTTGGATTCTGTCGTAAAAGAAAGAAAAGAAAGTATAAAGATCCTTCTTTTAGTGTCAGAACGATTCGTCAACATTTTTCCTTTCTTGTGACATAAGCTGTTCTGTCCCTTGGAGGTGATGGTTGAACTTGACTTTGTTGGAACTTTGTCCAACATGTAAGTCTCTCGTTTCCCTTACACTTCTTTCTTGGTCATCTCTTCTCGTCATCATTGAAGTAACCATTAGGTTTGTGGTTATACTTTTTACAAGGTATCAGGAGAAACAAAAAGCCAATTTCCGATTCCTTTTAGTGTAAAATTGAGACTTAATTATCAGAAATGATGAACAAAATTCCTTTTTGCCTTCATTCTGTAGCTAATGCTGCAAATGCTGGAGGAGAACCTGACTTTGTAGTGTTGCCTAATTTCACGTAATAACCATCCTTGGTTATGAATGTTTGTCATATCTTGACGCATTCTTCAGTTGTCCCTAATTCAACCCTCACATAATTAACGACAATTTTCAAGCGTGCGAAATCAGGTGCCTTGTGTTTGAATTCCAGAAGCCTCTGGGCTATTCTCATTTGTTTGTAGAATAGAAAATGACATGTAGAGAACCAAGTGATGTCAGGGAAACCATATCCATTTGGTTCCTGAAAGAAGATAATTATACATATTCATTATGAATGGCAGATTAGCTCTACAAATATCATAGAATAGTGTTGGTGAAATGTAATGCTTCTGAAACTTGATATAAGGATGTTAGATATCCATTCAAGACAACAGCGCATATCTAATAAATCTATTGTCCATTGAACTTAAATTCGGATCTAAACTAAGCATCTGAAATCTAATATCTTTATAGTACAATTATGTCATGCTTACCTTTTATCTTATCAATGCTTGTTCTGAAGTGTGCTTCATAAAATGATTTTGTTTATTTGATCTCATTTTGAAGCATATAGTCGATAATCTGATATGTTTCTGCTTTTTTGTTGTGGTCCTGATCAGAAAGGTGCGGGACGATACTTTGGATGTATAGTTGGACGGGTCGCCAATAGGATCAAAGAAGGAAAATTTACACTTAATGGGTTGGATTATTCATTGCACATCAACAATCCACCAAACAGCCTTCACGGTAAAACTGAAATCCGATTGCAGAATTCTGATTCTACTTCTTCTATCGATTGTTTTGGTTTCTAAACAAATACAAATCAACAAACAATCTGATATGTTCCTGATTCCACTTTAACTGTTTAAATTAATGCAGTTCTTATTCCTTACTTTTTTTAAGTTGGATAGGAATAGTAACTGATCTGTTCAATTATTTTCTTCAGGTGGGAAGATAGGATTTGACAAGGTACTTTGGGAGGTTGCGGAATATAACAATGACGAGTTCCCATCAATAACCTTCAAGTACCATAGCAAGGATGGAGAGGAAGGTAAGACCATACTTGAATCGAAAAGAAAAATAAAAGGAAATGATGCGAGAATCATCTGAGTGGTGGAATCTCCAATATTGAGAAAACAGGTTACCCCGGGGATCTATCTGTCATCGCAAAGTATTCACTCCCTTCCGGCACATCATTGAAGCTCGAAATGGAAGCTGTGCCAACGAACAAAGCCACTCCGGTCAGTTTGGCTCAACACACTTACTGGAATCTAGCTGGGCATAACTCCGGACATATTCTCGATCACTCGATTCAGATATGGGCATCTCATGTGACTCCTGTCGACGAAAATTTAATCCCGACAGGCGAAATCATGCCAGTCACTGGTACCCCATTTGATTTTACTTCAGAAAGAAAGATAGACAGCAGAATCCATGAAGTTCCAGTTGGGTACGATCACAACTATGTGCTTGACTGTGGAGAAAAGAGATGTGGCTTAAAGCATGCAGCTAAAGTAAAAGATCCTTCCAGCTCAAGGGTTCTCAACTTGTGGACTGATGCGCCTGGTCTGCAGTTCTACACAGGCAACTTCGTAACCGGTGTTGTGGGTAAAGGTGGCGCAGTATATGAGAAGCATGCAGGCCTATGCTTGGAGACACAGGGATTTCCAAATGCCATTAACCAACCAAACTTTCCATCTATTGTCGTTCAACCTGGAGAGAAGTCCAAGCACACCATGTTGTTTGAATTCTCCACTGTTTGATTTCGTGAATCTACTGTTTTAGTCAACCCTTTCTGAGGGGTTGAAGGCAGGCCATCTTAGCTCAGTCGTATCATGCGCAAATAACTTTAAGGAATAAGAATGATGCTAATTTTGTCCTTTTAACTTTGTTGTGGATGTTCCTGCATGCAGTGTTGGAGTGGCAGTCTGAAAACAGAAATCGAATTGATTTGAATGGCTTATGATAGTGAATTAGGCATTTGGATTGATTTGAATGGCTTATGATAGTGAATTAAATTGGATTAATGTTTATTAAATTAAAATTGATTTGATTTGATTCAAATCGATTAATTGAACTAAAAAGAGTATTTCAAGCCAAGACAGACTATTTAGGATCTTTAAAATCGGTCATTGGTGAACTCATTCCCATCGAACCAATATTGAATTGTTTGGATTCAGGTTTAATTTTGATTTAGTTTGATATTTTGATTAGATTAGAACATTGGAAACAGGAATAATTGACAACCGATGATATGTTATAGTTGTCTCTTATATTATTTCTCTAAGAATTCTACCAAGAGAGAGAGACTATTAACATAATTTGAAATCAGTAAGATCATAATCTTATTGATTCAAATGAAACGGAATTTGGCTTCTGAATTATGCAAAAATATGCATGCTACCGTTTGTCCGGTCCAATCATCATATTTCAGGGCTTAGCCGGTTCGTCGGCGGATAAGATCGGACCGATTCCGGTCCGGTTTATCTCCACGCGTAAGCGGCGGGAACGAGGCGTTGTTGACCGTCGACGAAAGAAAGAGAAGAAAAGAACGACTATAAGTGCAGACTCGACGTCAGTTGTTCCTGCGGAGCGGAAGTAACACATTAAAGTTCACAACAAGACAAGACAACTAAACCTTTTCTGAATCGAAATGTACTAGCCTTTGCCACGAAAACAATTTAACAAAATAGCTTCTCGAGAACAACGGATGGCAGTCCGACAGGGAGTCATGGGGAAAGTCTAAATTCTCGCATAAGATCCATTGATGGCGACGCTTTACAGCTTTAAGTCACTCCGAGTTTGCGCCCTTTGGTCCGCTCCACCAAAAGAAGAGAATTTATACCCCTCTTTGTCTTCCTCTTTTATCTGTTTGGTTGATTTATTCAGCTCCTTTTAGTACCTGGAGCCAGGAGTGGTGAGAGAGGAGAGAAGACCCAG